TAACATGTGCCAACTTCCATCCGATAGATGAAACGTTTTACTTTTAAATGACTGTTCTAGCTTCTAAGACCTGATTCATACCTAAAACGAAGATGTGTTCCTGACAGGCAGGCAGGCAGCTCGTGGGAGTCTGCTCTGGCCAAGCCAAAGCAGAGTGATACCAACAAGTTTCTAGTGGGTTTCACTTCTGCAATTGCAATTTCAATTGCTGTGGGTAGCAAAAACCTATTGAGACAAGTCAGTCTCACGCTGCCTTTGGGTGGGAATGACCAGTGACGTGACCTACTGGGACTGTTAATGAGAATGCAGAAAATGGAGGCGGGAAGAAGGACAGAGATCCCAGCTGCTGCTCCTCCTCTGCTTGACTTTCCAGTGGACTTTCCTACAGGCGCCAGAGAAGGCAAGCTGACGGAAATCCTCACACTTTCCAAGCAACTAAGAGTGTCACTAAGTGATCACACACTATACCTCACAGGAGGGTCAACGAGGCACCCGTTCGTGGCTTTGATGTCCCATCCTCTGGTGATGGGTATTTGGCACGTGTTTTCAGCCTGGGCTGAGTTTTAACATACCAAGCTACGTATTCAGCTACATCTGCTCACCAAGTTGGAAAAGACAGTTTGTGATGATCAGAGCCATCAAATCTCTGTGTGGTTCAGAAACTTCCTCAGGTTTACCTCCTGTGAACCATCATCGAGGCCTGGGGTCCCCAGTACAAAAAAGACATGGACCTGTTGGAGCGGGTCTAGAGGAGGGCCACAAAAATGATCAGGGGGGTGTGACACCTCTCCTGTGAAGAAAGGCTGATGGAGTTGGAGCTGTTCAGCCTGGAGAAGAGAAGGCTCCAGGGAGACCTTATTGCAGCCTTTCAGTACTTAAAGGGGGCTTATAAGAAAGACGGAGAAAGACTTTTTACCAGGGCCTGTCATGACAGGACAAGGGGCAACAGTCTTAAATTAAAAGAGGGTAGATTTAGATTGGACATAAGGAAGTCATTTTTTACAGTGAGGGTGGTGAGACGCTGGAACAGGTTGCCCAGAGAAGCTGTGGATGACCCATCACTGGAAGTGTTGAAAGTCAGGTTGGACAGGGCTTTGAGCAACCTGATCTAGTGAAAGATGTCCCTGCCCATGGCAGGGGGGTTGGAACTGGATGATCTTTAAAGGTCCCTTGGAACCCAAACCATTCTATGGTTCTGTGATCATATGCAGTGGTGTGTATATATCAAGTGCAGTGGGGACTTGCAGGCTGCAAAGATGGGAGCCCTGACTCAACATGGAGCCTTATCTCAGTTTCTGCACAAATGACCACACCAGTCCTGTGCTATTGATTATTCTCAGCTGCTACCGTAAATAGCTCTTTTGGTAGTGCTGCCATGCTAAAGACTACATTATTATAGGGGATGAACTGCAAATCCTGTCAGTGGAAAGATCACAAATTTATTTTCTTACAATGATTTTTTTCCTAGGAAAATGATAGCGTGCTTTTCAAAGAAACAGCTGCCAATAAATCAATTTGCATGTATTGTGTTTTTACATTGTTTTGCTGAACATATGCTGTGGACAAACATAGAAATACTTGGTTCTTTTTATAGCCTTCCAGGTGGTTTTGAACTTTTAACCAGTACTTCTATGGAAACCATAAATCCCCCATGAGTTTTGGTGTCTAATCCAGCTCAGTGAAGACTTTATTAATTCTAGCTTTAGAAAGCATTGATATAATTTATGTAACATTTTTCTTTTATAGAACTGAAAGCACTTGATTGAAGAGGTGAACACATTATCCTCTCAAATCTAAAGATGTGAGACCTGGGGTACAGAGAAGTTAAATGATCTTCCAAACTCGTACAATAATTCTGTGGCAGAACTGAGAGTAGAACCCAGGGAGTCTCGTTTTAGCTCTCTGCTCTGTTCTATGCCATTACGCTTCATTATGTCTCATTAATTATTATAGCATGTTTGCTACATGCTTTATGGATATAGAGCAAAAAATTATGTTAAAAGAAGTAATTTGCTATCATTCAAAAATCAAGAAACTCAGAAATTAGTACCAATTACAGTTATTTAATTCCCTGGTATATGTCATGTCACAAAGTGTACTAAACTGGAAAATCAGGATTGAAATACAGTATCTAAGGGCTTTATGTAATTATAAGACAAAAGATACGTAACTTATAGTATAGTGTAGTTATAAGCCTCTCAAGTATAGCAGAAAGAGACAAAATGATAAAGATTGAAATGTAACCAGAATCTATCTCAGGAAGGTCAGTTTTGGTCAAAATAGTTTAATTAGAATGATATGGCAAGGTCAAAAGTTGAAATGAAATCAGTTTCAGATTTGAGGTCCATTTTTGTCACTCTGAGCTGCGATTGATGGTATACATTGCAGAAATCCCTGAATTAGTGGTGGTTGAGCCTTCAAATCTACATAGCACCACGAGTGGAATCACGAGTTTAGGTTTAGAAACAGTGTATTTGAAATAAGGTGACTATTAATCTAAGGATTACTCATTTAAATATGGATAAAAAACCTGGACCCACACACCCTCAACTACATAACGAAATTGGCTGATGGGACGTAGTTTGTCTCTCCTTTATTTAAATGAAACTTCACTGCCTTTTACTTTCTTTCCAGATACACTGTGAAAAGGAAAAGGCAAAGTTACGTATCCGTGCTAAACCATCTCTCTTTCAGCATGTGGGAATTTATTCATCATTGGCTGGGAAGATACAGAATTTGAAAGTAAGGATAAGAAATTAATGCCATATTTCTAAATTGTATCTTGTGTTCTGACTTGTTTCTTAAATCAGTTTCAAGCATTGCAGCTTTGGCATTAGATGGCATTTCCATATCCAAGAACATTGGTTTACAGATTTGGGGGAGAATATTGATCTGGCATCTAAACTGCAGGTGGGGCACACTGCTTCTGCACAAACATCTTTGTATCTCTGATCTGAACACTTGTACCAGTCATAGTAGCATTTCGTGGCATGTAGGAACCCTCTTCACAGCACAAGGTTTCATGTGCTCTGCACCGTACAAACACAAACGCCTACGATGGTTTGTTTTGGCCAAACAGTCCACAATCCCAGTACGAAGGACTATTAAGAAGAAGGTATATTGGTAGGACAAGGGTGTGGCTATCGTGACGGCCGTAGATTTTTAGGGAGAGTTTGGAGGGCAAACAGTGGATCTACCACGAATCTGATAAGGACAAGAGCAATGAAGCACCAGACTTCAGGGATGTCCTGATGGTGCCATTTAGACTAGTCATGAGATCATTCGAATTGCTGTATTGGATCAGACTAGAGGTTCATGTAGCCTTTAGCAGAGACCATCATCAGAGGTTCTGGCAGAAGGCATAGACAACTATGAAATAGCCTACTGTGGAAAAGTTTATTTTTAAATCTAGGCAACTGAGAAAAAATCACTGCAGCGCTGTCTACAAACTGTAACACTGAGTCTCAGTGATTACACTGAAATGAATATTCTATTTCTATTAGAAATAGATTGTATATTATTTGACACTGAGGTAACTATTTTCTGGAATAGCTTCCTGTAGTTATTCAAGATACTGGAGCACTTTTTTTCATTGTATGAGTGAAATTACATTTCTTTATATTCAACAGGATAAAGATTTTGGCAAAAATGTGCTACATAGAGCACATAATAATCCACCTGCAAAAGTGGATACAAGCCTAAGAACATACCAGCAATATACCTTGGAAAAATTTTATACAGGAAAAGACTGTTTTTGGGCTTCAGCTCCAGTGGCAGGCGACTACATCCGCTTCACCTTTTTAAATCCACTAAAAGTTGAAAAGTAAGTAAGTATTACATGATATGGAATATGGAAGCCTACATATATCCAGTTTGGAAATTATTAAGTCTGTTCAAAATCACCAGTGCTCAACTGTTCGCATAAACCATAGCCTCGTTACTGACAGAAAGTCCATGATTTGCTATTTATCTGCTCCCCTTCTTGAATTCCCCTCCTGAAATACATTTCTTCCTTGGTAATTAGAGCTGCTTAATTTTTTTCCTTTTATTTCTTCAGTTAAATATTTTACATTCTCTTATGATAATTCTCAAAGGAATTTGTTTTTAACTGATGAATTTCATCAATGGAGTCAGTGAAAGCTTTATTTCTATAGTTTTCAACAGAAAGGCTGTTTGCATGATGTCAAGTCAAAGGCCATGTCCCAGACCAGACACTTACCAGTGTAGGTGAAAGCGAGGAGAAAATATCACTATTGTGGGGAAATAATGAAGAGTGAATCAATAAAGGTGGGATTCAGTTGTAGATTCAGAGACTTGAATGTAGGTGTTTACAGTAGAGATGTCTACGTAAGGGAGGTGTGTAAGCTCCTACTATACGTGACAGAGATCTACTTGATACAGTCAGTGGAAGCTAGGCAGCTCTTCATCTCATTCTCTATTTGGTCACCTGAGTCAGTTGCTAAGTTTCGTTGACCGTCTTGAGTGTATCTCCATTGCCTGTAATGAGAGCTTGAACCCTCGGGTCACAGCCAGACTTCTAACTTCACGTGTTTAGATCTACAGCCAAGTCCCACCTTGAATGTTTTTCTCATTCTGAAAGATGAAACTATCATCTTCTCTGTTTTCACATCATTGAACTTGGGCATCTTTGAAAGGAAGAGACACCTGTAGCTTAAGATAGAGAAGTGTTTTTCAGAAGGACTTACTCTATGAACAATACAAACTGAGGTTGGCACCAAAAGAAGCAGTCCTGCCTGGATCAGCAAAGTTTCTTCTTCTCTCTGTGTCAGATTGGAGAACAGATCTGAGTTAAAACTAATCTAGCAAGAAATACGGTTCCAGGAGAGTGTCTCTGACACAAATTACCATAATTACCGTATCTCTGTAATGATATTCAGAGAGAAAACTCCTTCACTCCCAAAACTGGTCACAAAACTAAGGGACTTCCATTTCTGCAAAGATTGTAAATTTCTCATTTATTTTAAAAAAAATCTAAGAAAGCAAGTCTATATCTCCATTTAGTGAGCTGCGCTAAATGACAGTTGTTATAATAAACACTGGTGTTCTGTGATCAACACCGTTAATTAACTGGTTTATGCTTTGGGAAACTTGGGTAGCCTGTATTTTTTGCATTTTCCTGTTACTGGGAAGCTGTACTGGATGAAGCTCACCTACGTATGATATTGCCTAGTGGCTGGTCCCAGCCCCATCACATTGCTAACCTGTGAAAATGTATAGTTAATCCTATAATATTTGGTGGTCTTCTTAGGTCTTGATTGTTTGATACCAGAGGAGAGAGGTTGATGCTTTAAATTTCCTGAGCTCTTTTTGGATCTAAAAGCCTAAGAACTCTAATGCCAGAAATTTAAAACCAAACAGGGATTTTTAAATTTTTTTTTTTAAATCTCATAGGTGTTTTTGCTTGGATTCTTGCTTTGACAGTGCTGTTGCTCATTGGCTATAAAGGAGATTATTTAGAAGCACCTGAATTGATCAGTATTGATAAAAAGGGGGATTCTCTTGGCATGTAGCATATGGTCTAGCAGAAATAGGGATTTTTGCTGCCATTGCATTCCAGAAGCCCATCTCACCTCAGCCTTAGGATGATAGGAACAGATCAGAGGGCAGAGCTTTCTTAGCCATTTAAACCTGGAAAGTTAATTTATTTGGAACTTGAGCACTGAAAAGGGGGAACACTTGCATTCGTGGTTCCAGAGAAAGATGGTTTTAATGCTTGTTCTATTTAAAATAAAAAGCCTCTAGTATGGTCTGGTCACACGTTGGAAAGTTTCAATGCCTATTTCTGTTCTCTGAAGCACACAACTAATTAAAGAAAAGGTATTTGAAATGCTCGTTCAAAACTGGAAAGAATTACTTCCCTAGAACTTTTCTAAAGTATAAAAATACCTGGAAATAATATACCTTTATCACCAGGTACCTCTTCAGAAGTGGAAACATGGAGCACCCTGGTGATAAACTGTTTAACACTACCGTGGAAGTGTTGCCAGCTGATGTAAGTCTCTCATTTCCAACTGTAATACACAGTGCTATTTCATTTTAAGACTGATATTCAGCATAAAATGTCATGGCCTAGAAAATATTTCTGGAGATTTTATTCATTTATTTTTTACAGGAAATGCTAAGAAAAGAACTGGTTGACAATGGAAGTAAATTTAACTACCCAGCAACAAAAGATGGATATTTAAAAATAGGTAAATTGTTTATTGTCACTTTAAAACCAAAAATTTTGTTCTTACGTATAAAATGGTTCTGCATTTGAGAATTTCACTAACTCTGTAATAAATACAACATTCCAAGGTGAACTAGTAAGGAAAAGAAACCCTTTGCGCTACTGCATATTATAGTATATGATGTTTGACCAATTACTATCCTATTTTGTTTCAAATACTGAAGAACCCTACCAGCAGTGGCAAAAGCCAAGGCATCTAATTAGAAGAAAAACTAACTGCAGCCTCTGCAAGTTCTTAATAGGATAATTGATTCTGGTTTGGATTTTGCAGCCTTAGCCGAAGACAAGGATTTCTTCTGATTATGACAGCATTAACTTGTGCTCCAACCTGAAATGAATATGAAGCATAATGCACCTGCCCCGTTTTTGCCCCCACCCCTCCTTCCCACTCTTCCTTCCTCAGGGTGGTGTGTGACTTTGCTTAAATGAACTGCAGATTCTCCGCGTGCTTGCCAAGGCCTGGTTTCTGCTATTACCGAAACTAAAACGGCACTATGCGAACAAAAGCGGACTATTGGGAGATCTGCTTTGCTTGCCACTTCCTTCTGTCTCTTCTACCACATACCTGCTCTTTTCTCCCAATGAACCGCTTTCACCTCACCAACGCTTCTTGTTTGCTTTGATTGGCACCTCTCTCGCACCTCCTCGTGGCTGTTCTGCTCTAATTCGAGATCCAAACTGAAACGCTGTCAACTCACAGTTGCACGTGCAAGTTGATAGGAAATTAATATCATACATGGGATGAGCATTTTTCATTAGTCTGCAGTCATTTTAAGCCAGTTTAACAAGGTTAGTTAAAAAGCATTGAACTAGTGAAGAAATGTATTAGAATTTGTCCATGATTCCTAATATATCTTTTTAAAAATAATTATACTTCTCAGAAAAGCTCTTCTAGATTATTTAACATGTCCTATGTGTGCTATATGTATATGGTCACTACTAACATATTTATTTTTTAACATTTGTAGCGCTAGGTTCCTTATTTTCTTGTGTTCTTCTCCAGCTCCTAGTTGCTGTAACTGAAGAAATGAATCCATCTTCTTGTTTATAGCTTTATCTTTCAGTTGTTATTGTCTGACCTTTTCCAAAAGATTTTTTTTCCCTCATGTTGTATCCCTGGAGTTAATTTATAATTTGTGATTTAGAGCTTTTGCATAAGTTCACTTGGAAGCGTATTTCATTCTAACATATGTTTGTATGGGTCTTGGTTTATTTTTTATTTAGGGGCTTTTGAAAATGGAATTGCAGAAGGCAGTATCAATCAGTCAATAGGGAAAATACAGGCTATTCGTTTATCAGTCAATTCCGATTCTCCTGTATGGGCAATACTTAGTGAGGTAAGCATGTTAATAAAAGCATTTTAATTAAAGCTTCATTAAATGAGTTTCAGTTCTTCCTACCACATAGTATTGATAATAATTAATTTTTATTTAATTTTGAATGGGATTTTGTGTGGAAAAATTCACACAAGTGGAAAATTATATTAATTATTCAGGGAAGAAATTAACTTCATAGAAAAAGTGCTGGAAATACTCAAATGGGATGATTTTCCAGTATTGCAATGCTGTAAGTATAGCCACTAGAATTTGGGTCATGATAAACAAACCAACCAAAGGAGACAGGGAGGCTTTTCTAGATTTTTTCAGTCACCATCTTGGATATTAATTATAATATGCAAACATTAGATGAACATGTGATTTTTTTATTCTTCAACTTTCTCCCAGGTGTCTGAATGTGTGTGAACCCATAAGTAGAAAATATTCAGCAGAAGTCACTGAAGAGAATTACTACAGCCTTAAACTATAGCCATAGTTGGAAGGAGGGAACTATCCTCCTTTTACTACTACTTAGGCAATGTCTTAGTCTTAGGCAATGCTTCTGCAGATTTTAGAAAATAATATATTTTGTTTTTTTCAGGTACTTATCAAGACATCTGAAAACTGAAAAAAATACATTTTTGACGTGTCGCTTGTTACAGATTGTTTGAAAACTAGGCTAACAGCAACAAAAAACTGGCTGGGTAAAAAGAACAAATCCAAGCCCATTTAATTCTTGATACTGTGTATTAGGAAGGAGTTGAGATAACTATTAGATCTTTATATAAAAAATATTAAAAGCTATAAAAAACCCGATTATGTTAGTAATTTCTATAAAATTACTAAAGGTGTCATATATAAAAATCTCACCTTAGTTTGGCAACATTCAATATATATTATTATAAACAATTGGTAAGGCGTTACAGGCTGTCTGAGGGTCTAAAGCATAAAAGTATGGTGAGTTTCACTGGAACTAAAAATACGGACATTTTTGACAAATATTAAGGACAGAGTTTTCAGCTCCACTAAAAACACTGCTCAATTTTGGAGGGAAAGTAGAACTGAAGGAAAAGTTGTCAATATTCATTGCAAGTATTTAGAGAAGTCCACAGAGACAGGAACAACTTTACAATATGAAAATGGATCTCAAACTTAACAGAAGAAGTGTGTTTCAGCCTTAATGTAGCATAAGTAGTTTAATAAGTTACGTTTAATATTTTTTTAAATGGAAGTGCCTACAAGTTACCATTTGAATAACTTGAAATTTAAACAGGTATTGTTCAGAGGATTGTAAAACTTTTCAGTGAATTCTGCATTAAATTAACTACAGGAAATAATAAGGGTATTATGTGTAACTATATTTTTGTAGAAAGAAAATCTATTTAAATAAAATTTTGGATCCTATAATTTGATAATTAGTGTGTACTGATACTTAAATCCTGGTCACAAGGCAAAACGCAATATAAATTTGAAAATAAAAGGTAAACCACAGTAGTCTCATTTGAAATGTTTTTGGGAAATGACAGTCTACCTTGGACATCTACCCGTTAATGTGCAGAATTCCTGTATCACCTCCTTAGCACTTGAAGCACGACTGCACCCTCATTCTCCTGCACATGCATTGCATCCTAACAACAGACAGCGAGAAATAAGCTGCACTGTATACTTTTGGATGGATTTGTATTAAATGGGTTAAATTAATGTAGAATTGTATTCTTAATGCAAGAGTATTTTTATTCAGAGTAAAATTGATTTTCTTACATTAAAACAGTTCACAAGGGTGTTTTTTCAAAGACCATCTCTAATAATATTTTGATAATTTACAGTATTCTTTATATACTGTGGTGCTATACATGTGCTTGTAGATATATATACGTACATATGCATGCATGTATTTCTTGGACCAAATATTGCAGCCTTCATTAGGTTAAGAGTTTAATGCAGGTTAAGAACTAATGCAGTAATCCAGAGTGCTTAGAGATGCACAGAGGAACACCTTTATCCATCAGCACTTACAGTAAAAAGAAGGGCTAAGTGAAACTCAGACCAGTGGATCGTTAAAAAGCAGCGGCTAAAACTGCAGCTAGGGGAAGACGGGAAATAAAGTGGCTCTGCACTGAACTACCTGGCACGAGAAGGGCAGAGCCGCCTCCCTCTGACCCTGCTCAGAATCGCCTTTCAGATCATCTTTTTCTCTGCTGATACAGGAGTCTGAGACATTTAGTCACGAAAACTTGTACTACGGAATAAAATACAACTTAGATTACATTAAGAGAACACAAAATTGCGTTCTCTGAAGTCATTCTCTCTCTTGACTTGAAGTGCTTTAGCATCTTTGGGGAAAAACAAATTGAAGTGAATAGGGCCCTCTACCCAAAAAGGCAAAGCAACAGATAACCTACAGAACACTTGGGCTTTTTCCCTGCAGAGCTTTAGAAACTTGTATGGATATGAAAATGATTAAAGTGTAGGTCTTCTCCTGACGCCTTAGTTCAGTTCTTAGCATATCATAGCTTTTAGTACTCTCACTGAAATCACATCGTGTCATGGGGATTAGTTTCATCTTCAGGATCTTGTCAAACGCTTCAGAATAGCAAGTTCTTGTAAACGTACTGTAACTCTATAGTCTGAATTGCCCTCTTACAAGGCCTGTTTCACCTGCCAGCGAAAGATGAAAGAAGTAGAAATCCAAGTAGAAAGAGCATTTCTTGTAGCGCATGATCTAATAAAAACTTAAACCTTCTTTTGCCATTGCTTTCACTGCAACAGAGTCACAAGCTGGGAGCAGTGTCTGCATTCAGGCTGCCTTACACTCACTTGTTACAGGGAAGTGTCACTGTAAGGAGGACATTTCAGAGTGATTATTAATAGTGAAAACACGGAAAATATTAAGGTAATAGATTTTGTTACCAAAACCTCTTCTTTTCACAGTGAAAATGAGATTTCACTCTAACTGTTGAAGGGTAATTTCAAAAAGCTCATCGGAATACCAGAAATTATATTAGGAAGTGACCGGACTTTTTGTAAATATTTTGTAAATACAGTTTTTTCATTCTGCGCTGCCAGCTTTGTGCTTCATTCATTCTGTTTCTATTTTTACATATTTTACATAACCACTGCAATCACACAATACGCTTCCCATCACTTTGATGTAAATGAGGTTTTAGATGTTGACATAGTAAATAATGAATGTTTGCATATGCACCGTTAAAGTAAAATTTTGCTTAGTCCCGATTCTTCCCTGTGCTTTGTGGAATGCAGAGGTTTCTTGCACAGTCTGCAGAATCACAGCTCCACTATAAAACCGAAGGAACCTCATGAGAGGAGCTCTGGATTTTCACTGAAGCAGTGATAGCTGAATTAGTGAGCGTTACAGCCCTAGGAAGTTTAAGACAGTGGAGTGTAACGGAAGTACACTTACGTACTTTTGCATTTTAACAGCAACCACCACCACTGCCGAGTGAATTAGCTGGGTTTGTTCATAACAGTCTCTGTTAGGCAAGGAGCCGTGACAGAACACGTGCAGCTTTCTTTCCACCCTGCAAGCAAGTTCCTACCTGAGGTTTTCCATTTAATAATCCTATGCACTGAACCGGCACGCGCCTTCACACACCACGGCTCTGAGGCCAGTTTAAAGGCTGCAAAGAGGCCTCCTCTTGGGAAGCTTCAGTTCAGGTAACAAATCCGGGGGATAAGGAACATCCTCTAACTTCATGGGTGACTGGTTTTTGCAGTGTAGGCGTTGTGATTGTACCTTACAAAACCAAAGGCAGTAAGCTGAAGTCAAAAAACAACTATGAAAGGAGTTTCAGACTCCATACCAGATCACCAAGCTCCTCCAGTAGGAAATTTTACTTCAGTACTTTCATGTGGTTTAAAACATAGTCTCGAAAATATTGACTACCTCAGGCTGATTGTACACGCACCTATTCAGGTTAAATACCTGTGTGGGAAGAAAGCACGTTTTTCAAGCTAATTCAGTATTAATGACGGTTTATTCAACCCATTTTGATTTTCACTGGAGTACAGTTACTCATTTCTCTGAACGGTGTGTCTCCACTCTTGTCTTAAATCTTTTGAGGGACTTTTGAAAGGGGAATGCTAACATTTGTCTTCAATACGAAAGGCAGTTACGAACTTGGCTTTACCGATTTTTTAAATGTTTCTACTTCCATTGATTATGTGGGCCCCTAATCTCATCAGTGTCACTATGACTTTTTGCAAGCTTAATACAGTAAATGCTAATGGATGCTAAATGTACACTGAGAAGAGACTAGACCCTTAACAGGAATATCTATTAAAATTAATTACGAGATATTTAATCCAAAGTTGAAGATGTATTTGCTTATTGAATTGAAAATCTTCTCTCATGTTTGAGGAAGTAAGTGGATAGCGTCCTATACGCAAGGATCCCAATTTTCCCCAACATTTATTTTTTCTATTACTCCTAAGTCACGCATTTGTTAGCTATGTTACAGGTTGCACAAATTGTCTTATCTGAGTGTTTTGGGTTGTGGATTTTTTTTTAGGCTATGATTTATTTGCATAAATGTAAGATTCCAGATAAATCTTTTATAGATGCCTTACAGTGAGTGGTGGGAATATTAACAATTAATTCTGCAGTAAGCAGAAATCTTTAATTCTCCAATCGCTTCTAAAAGCATGTATGTGTATTTCAAGCTGCGAGGATAGTTTTAATCTGTCTTTGTTTCATAATGGATTGCTCAAGAACATTCCTTAATTTTTTTTTTTTAGCTAGAGATGTCTAAAGATTGAAGTTTCTGTAGGACTATGGTACCATTTCTCAAGAGTACATTAAATAAGGATTTGAATTAAGGCGTAACAGATCTTTCTGACCAGCATTAGAATCATAGAATCATATGATTGAGAAATGGTACCATAGTCCTACAGAAACTTCAATCTTTAGACATCTCTAGCTAAGCCTCCACAAGAGAAGAAATTGTGCCGCTTTTTTATGACATAAATATGCACTGTGTTTAATTGTGAAGTTTACATTGCTCTTTGGAGCTTGGAATTGTAATAATCTATGGCAATCTTAAGTTTTGATGACACTATCAAAAGAGAAATATAATCAAGTTTTAAGCTTGTACATGAGTTTACAATGACCTTATAATACTTGAAAGGCAGAATATCACAAAAATAAATATGAGCATTTGGATTTACAATTCATATTACACATTCTAATGGTAACTTTAAACAGTTCTGAGTCAACAAACTAATATGTGGTAGACATAAACCAAATGGAGAAATCTATAAAAATTATCTGAAGTTATAAATTATTTTAGGAGGGGGGAAGCTTAGCTTAACGGTGTATAGGCCGTAATTGTTATGTTCCAAAAGACAGTTTCCTCAACATGGTAAGATTCAAATAACATAAAACAGATTCTTGTGGCCTGAGCACTGGCTGAAAGAGGTTTAGAGTTATGAGAAAAAAGTACCACTTTTTCATATGGCTATCAACATTTCTGGTATTTCCTTCCTTCTTTTCTTTCACAGACCCTCAGTTTCATAGGCAATAGAAAGAAAAGCTCTGCATATGTGCCTTAATAAGAATTTCTTGGGCACTGAAATCTGCCTGCATTTGAGGGGACGGCTGATACTGCAATG